GTCCTTTTGCGGAGAGGATAGACACAGGTGTGATGTAAGTCAGAATCAGGAAAATAGCTTCAAAGTCTCAAGGATCAATCCGGAATCTTGGTTCTAACCTTGTCTGTGTTTTGAGTTGAGTTGGAAGTGCTCTTTAAGGCCTCCACGTTGAACTGGATCCAGAGCGGTCTTGTGGAAATGAATGCCTGTCACTTCCTGATCCGCCTAGCATCCTCGTAACATACCTGCTCTCATGACTTACATGCCAGTGCTAATAGGCACACTTCCTGCTTGCTTATTACTTTAACTTGTTCAAACTAGCCATGCCCTTAACTTTGTAAAAAGTGCCAGTCAGTTGTTTCTCTTGGGTTCTTCAACATTGCATGTGTCTCAAATTGAGATAAAGAGTAGGAAGGTCCAGCTTAGATCAGAAGTTTGTATGTTTTCAAGTCTTGAGCAGCTTTTCAACATTTTCTTATTATTATTCAGAGACAGTTTTCTTTAATTTCTACTCAAAGAAAATGTGATTATAGCTAGGTCTTTTAGAAAGTGTTAGAGCCAACAAAATAAATACTAATGAAGTAACAAAACATCCCCAATTGGAAGGGAAGGGCAGTTTTGTTTATTTTAGTGAGAGAATTGAAGGAGATTCCAGAGATCTTGTGGCTTCATTGTACATATGGATGCTGAAGCCCAGAGATGTGAAGTAACTTCTCAAAAGTCACACCACTATTTAGTGGCAGAATCAGAACTAGGGCACTTCCATTCTAGTTATAGGATGCCCTTTGTGTACTCACCCTTTAAAACTCTCCATTTTTTTCTGAAACTAAGTGGCAGGATATAGATCAATAAACTACCATCACCAAAGATGTGTGTTCATACTTATGAAGGTTCTTTGGGTTACAAGTAGCAGAAACCATTAAGTAAACCAGTCTAGCCAAAAAAGCAGAGGAGGTGAGAAAACATAGAAAGGATCCGGGAATATTTCCCAGAATCTAAAGAAGAGTTGAACAAATGGCCAAGCGCAGGAAGAGACAGGAACTAAGCCATTCTGGGGCTTTCAGCAGGACGAGTTTACATGGCTTCTCTTCAGAGTGCTGTGTGACCGTGTCCTTCCAGTGATTCCTGAGGTGGAGTGACTCTGGTATGGGTTCTATAGTTTAAAATTCTGAGAGGGAGAGACAGACAGAGAGAGAAACAGAGAAGAGACAAAAGCCATAGCTCTCACTGTTTCACCACCTTCGGTGCCCTTCTGCCTCTCCTCCCAGTCTAAATCCTACTCATTTTTCAAGGTCCAGCACAAGCATTGCTTTCCCTGTCAAAGCTCTTCTTAATTCCCAGCTAGACATATTCATTCTTATTCTTATTCTCTCTCTCTCTCTCTTTCTTTCTCTCTCTGTGGTATTTTAATCCCAATACTCTGTCTCTGTTGGCAGATTATAACCCTTATAAACCATAACGAATTCTACTTAGTACAGTAGAATCCCACAGCCTTTATGGAGGGAACAGTAGTCAGTTAAATTCAAAGGTAGGGAATCATAAAATGATATTAGTATGTATTCCTACTGCCTTAAACATTCTATCTTAAAACTTATAAATGCGCATTTAATTACCAGTGTACATGTAGGGCAAGGCCTTTGCCTTAGGTATAGGATGCTGACTGAGCATCTGAATTCTCTTTCTTGTGAAAAGTAAACCCATAACTTAGATTTTCAGTTTTGCTTTCTTTAAAAAGGGGCAAGAACTTAGACACTGTGAAACAATACTAATACAGAATCCTTCTAGACTTCTGTGTGTCTCTTCTAGTCTCTAGTTGTCTTTCCAGTACCTAATTTGACAGCAGATTTTTAGCCGCTTACCTTTATATCACATTTTACCAAAGCACGAAACCTAGTTTTCATAGAAACATCTCCCTCCCCCATACTCATAATTAATGGGATTATGCAATGTATAATCAGATTGCATAATTACTAGCAGTAAAACTAGCATAAACAAGTTCTAGCATGTTTTGAGCAGAAGTGTGTGGGAGTACTAGAGTTTAACCTGCTACCCACCAGTCTATAGCGAGCTTTGGGCATCTGTCATTATAGTTAAGAGGGACAACGAGAGGCTTGGTAATCTAGAAGTGGGTAAGTGGAGGGCCATCAAAAGTGCTGTTAATGTGTTAAAGTGATTTCTGTACTTGTCTCATCCTTCTGCTGGACCAGCAGCTCTCAAAATGTGATCTGGAAGCCACTGGGTAGAGGGGTCCCTGAGACACTTTCAAGGCCCTGTGAAATCTAAACTATTTTCACAACAATACTGAGCCTTTTTGCTTTTCTCACTCTGATTTTCTAAACATTGTTCAGTTTTAGTTTCTAATACGGTCAATATCAGCAGATAAAACCCACATAAAAAGCTCTTTGAGGGTCCTCAGTTTTTTTTAGGCGTACATGCCTCAGGCTCTTTGTGAATGGTTGCCCTGGGCTCTACTCCTTGCTTGAGAACAGGAGCTAAGTTTCATTTAGTTTTGTTATTCCTAATCTGTTTTTGAGTTATCTTTTACATAAAAGGTATTCAGTAAATATTAGATAAATATATGAGCAAAAAAAGAGATTTTTTTTCAATTATTTATGCTCTTTCAGACTGGGCCAACAAAGTAGTCTTATCAGGGTTTCTGTATTAATGAATATGATCTCCAATTAACAGCAGTGGTATGCAGGTGGGTGCTTTCAAATGCAATAAAATGTAATATTTAATAGCTTTCCCCTGAAATCTTAAGTAACGTCTTGAAGAAAAAAAGCAACATGATTTAGTGGAAAGAATATGAAAACACATTCCTGTGAGGCTTTAAAAAGTATGTGAAGGCTTTAAAACTTGTTTAGGGGGCTGTATTATAAGTCATTTTTTTTTGGTTTTGTTTTTGGTTTTGGTTTATTTAGAGAGAGACAGGGAAGGGGAAAGAGTGAACTGAGATGTGGGGTTATTTAAGAGCAGCCAGTTGGTGGAAGAATTCATTGCTGATGATGAAGACTTTTCTTTTCACTTGAGAAGCATTTGAAAGCTATTTTAGATTTGAAAAGGGGATGTGATGGACAGGAAATTATGGTTTGGGGGAAGTGAATTTTACTGCTTTGTGTGAGTGACCTTGGTTGAAGAATAGTGATGAGAATGGTGGCCAAATTGAAATGGGCAGGTGCTGTGGATGCGTCTTACCCTTTCAGGTATTAAGTGCAGAACGTTGATGGCAGAAACCTTTAACCAGGAATTGAAGTCATCTGTCCACCGGGAGTAGGTACTGCTGAATAAGTGGGGCACGTTCACAGGTGGTATGGAAAGGCAGCTCTGTAGTAGCCAACAGTAACAGGCACATGGATATATAACCATATTATCTTCAGGAACAGTAGTCTAGATTTATTTCAGTTTTTCTAAGGATTAATTTATATTTTAGTAGTGGACTTTTCTCATGCATTGAAATCTAAGACACTATATACATTGAAATCTTTCTCAAATCTTGTTTCTAGATAGAATTTTCAGCTTCCTGGGAGAGGCACACTTGAATATAAGATTTACTTTTGCTTTAAGAAAATTCAAATTTTACTCTTAATCTTACTAAATTTATTAATGAGAGGAAATTAGTTTTGGATATTTAAACTGAAATGTAATATAAAATAATTACAGCCTTCTTACTGTTTCCTTCCTGGCATATTTTGGTGTCAGGTAGACATGCGTCTCACCGTGGGTCTTCCCAGTCATTTGCCAGCCTGTCCTGGAGGTTTGTTGCACGTTTGCATTAAACCATTGAGTTACAGTGTGTTTGCAGTTAGTACTTATGGGCTACAATAAGGAGTTTCTAGATTTTGGAGACAAAAATCAAGAAAGGTCACCATAAAAAAGATTTTCTAGTATAAATCATGTTGGCGCGGTTTTGTCTGCATTCTACATTTTGGTCAATTTATCTGTCTTCCCCCAGGGAACTGTGTGCTTCTTGAAGACAGTTCTGTAGCTTAATCATCTTCCATTTCATAATGCCTGGATGGTACCCATCACATAGTAGGCATTTAGTTGTAGTTAGTGGAATGCCCAAAGTCATTCGTCCTGAAGAGATGAATCATAACTGCATTGCTGATGAACCAAAGGGTTTCCTGAATCTCTTCTCAAAACCTGGGTGAATTCTCACAGAAATACGACTGAACCATAACTGTTCCTAACCATAGCCTTGCATTTCTAGACAGTGGTAAAGCTGGTGCCCTCATGGGGTGGTCATATGTGTATCAAGTAAGATGAGGTCTTAAAGTGATCTTCCCACTGTGCTTGTTGCCTGGTTTTTTTTTTCTTTTCTATGTTTCTCTTGAATTTTGTGTTAGAGTCACCCTAAGAATTCTTACTAATAGTATGAAAATTGCCCTTCTGTTTGGACAGATATTCATAGCAGCTAAAGCTCTCATTGGGACATACCCATATTAATCATTTTGCCAGAAAATAGAAGTCAGAGCAACTGGCAGGCAGAACTGGAACACGGTATAACCTGCCTGGTTTCACAGTATTTTCTAGGCTAGCTGTTCTAGTCACAGTGTATTCTAGATTTTTTTTTTAGCACATGTGTGTGTGCACACGCATGTGAATACGTGTGTTTATATATCTTTGATTTAGTGCTTTAGACTAGCTGTGTTTTCAGAAGTTACTTCTCTGCCAAAGGTGATACGGCCTCCATACCCTTCAGTTTTTTAAATTTGATTTTATATGCTTTTATGCACCCTCTTTAGAAAGAGCAGATTGTATAAAAGCTGTTTATTGGCAAGGGGCTGCAGCAGCCCAGTAAATAAACCTGACAGAAGCCCAGGTTTTTACCAGCCAAGAATAAGGTTTTTCTTTATTCCAACCAATGATACTACTATAAACTTTAAAATATTCCTTTTCTTTCCTTGATTTTTATTATTAATTACATTTGATTCTTACTGTGGTTAGTGTTTCAGAATACAGTCTTGAAAATGATGTGCTATCTCTGAATACATCTGTTAATTTTTTTCTTTCCATTCAAGATAAGCTTTCACTGGAAGGAATAGTGGTACAAAGAGCAGAATGCCGACCTGCTGCCAGTGAAAACTACATGAGATTAAAGAGGTTGGTGTTTTTTAACTTTAAAATAATGCCTGATATTTCTTTCTAGGGATTGAAATACATGTGTTAGATTGCCTATTGACTGCATGAAAACTATGCTTATTGTTGAAAGTGTTTTCTTCAAAGGTTGCTTAGTTTTAAAACCAACTGAGAACAAATTTCCAGTTATAAAATAAGTCATGGGGATATAATGTGCAACATGTTGACTATAGTTAATAATACAGTATTGCACTTTTGCAAGTAGTTGAGAGAATAGATCCTAAAAACTCTCATCACAAAAAAAGAAATTTTTTTAACTATGTGTGCTGATGGAAGTTAGCTAGACTTATTGATCATTTCCTAATGTCTAGTTATTGAATCAATATCTTATATATCTGAAACTAATATAATATGATCTATTAGTTATACTGCAGTTATTTGAAATACCAAGTAAGAGTTTCTTTGGCAAGGGAACTTTGAGAACTCAGACTGTTAATTTGGGGTATTTCAGGTTACTGTGTTAATATAACCTAGAATTAAACTGTTTAAACTTCTTTTTCTAGTTGTCCTTATAATCTTGATTTTCTAAAGACATATAATAAGATACTTGTACTGTTTTATTTTCAAAGGCTGTAGTTCTCCCATGATGAATATATTATCTAAAATACTACACTGTAAAAAACAAATATAGTTAGTTGCTAGAATACCATCCTTTTCTCTTGATCTACAAAGAAATTTTTATGAACTTGCTACTTTATTAGAGATTTTGCTTCAGGGTCCCTCCTCCCCCACTTTTGTATGTGGTTGACCCTTTGTAGTTAATATTTAAAGATTATGATTGCAAATTCTTTATACTTCAGATTTCAAATTGATTTTCAAAGAGTCAGCAGCTTTTTAAACCCTGAAGAAACGTTATTATACTTGTTTTATAGTTTGTATTGAATGTATTCCAACCCCATGTAGTTTAGAATTGCACTTTTGTTTTTCATTTACTCAACACTTACTATGTGAGATAATAGTGAACAGAACAAACAAAGATCTCTGCCTTCATGGAGCTTACATTATAGAAGATTGTAGCTGCACAGAACTGATAGTTGGGAGCACGCTCGCTGCTCACGTGGTAGCAGCAGCCTCTGGATATCCCAGCTGGCTGAGTTGGATCAGCTCTAAATTTCACATCTTTTAAATTTTCCCCCCTTTTCTCAGTTAGATTGGAAGTCTGTCTCTTGGGAATGAAACAAAGACTGGTTTTCTTGTCCAATTACTCCTCTAATTTAAATGCCTCCCCAGGGCATGTAAAAGGATGACAATCAAAATGAAAATTTTTTTCTAACGTAAATAACTTTGGAACACAGGCGGGTCTTTCTCTCTTTGTTTTTAGCCTGTGAAATTTATTATATAATGCAAGCCTTTTTGAGAATTGATCTTCTTCAAATAACTGCTGAAATGGGGGAAATGTGAAATCTGGTTACTGAGCTGCTTGTCTGTCGTCTTTTCTTTCAAGGTTTCTAAAGATTTCTGATGATCAGATTGGGCAAGTCACCGGCTGTGTTTATGAAATGGCTGCTTATTCCTTACCTGAAAAGACATTACAAATTTTTAGCCTTTCAGAGTATACTAAAAGACCAGCCATTACACATTATAAATACTTAAGTGACTTAAGGAAACAGGATAATTCAGGAGATGATAATCATGTGAGTTTCATAAAACAGATGCTACATGACATAAGTCTTGAAGGCTGAGACATTTTTTTTTGACCAAGTAGGAAAGGACAGGAGTTAAGAACACTTTCTAAACAGAGATTCATTCAGGCACAAAGACTTGGGAAAGACATCAGGGATCTGTGTGTAGTTCTGCAAGCCTGGAATGCAGGATTTATTTGAGGCAGAACAAACAGAAGCTCTAGCCCTTTTGTGAACTCTGAACTTGTATATCCAAAAGCCTGATTGGATGCCCAGTAGACATTTCACATATGTCAAAAACTGAATTTCCGGTCTTTCCCCCCAGACTTGCTCCACCAGCAGCCTTTCTTATCTGAGTTAATGCCTACTTTGTCCTCCCATTTTCTCAGTCCAAAAACTTTGGCTACATTCTTGATCCCTTGCTCACAGCTCACATCCAATGTGTCAGAGAAATCTTACTGACTGTACCTTTAGAATATTACACATCTGCAGCCTGACCATTTCTCACCACCCACATGATCTGCTGTGTTTCTCACC